GCAGGTGTGTGTGCGTGTGTGTGCGTGTGTATGTATGTGAGGACGTGGACATTGCTTTATGGCGTTACAGAGCTCCCTCCCACGGTCACTCCTCTAGAGCTCCCACAGCCCTCAGAGTGGCTGTCTGAACCGGAGAGAGGCCTTGCAAGTAGGAATGTTGATCAGGTGAGGATGAGGGGATGTGACCTCCCTCGATGTCGCTGGCCGTGTGTGCGTGTGCTTCTGCGTGTGCATTTGTATGTTTGTCTGTGGAGGCGTGGTCATCGCGGCACCGACCCCCAATAACGAGACCGGACCCACCTAGGGGTCGTGCCCCCTGAGGTTGAGGGACACAACCAACACAACCACATCCCGCGGCGCCCGCCCTCCCTGTCTTGTCGTATACTGTGTCGACACAGTGTTTTCGTCAGTGTGTCTCGTATGTATGTTGTTACAGGGTGGTTAACTTCGCCAGCGGTCCCCTTTCCCGGGGCAGTCCCTGCTCTCCCCTGCTAGAGGGGCACCCTAATCCGTCACCCCATCCGACTTCAGAATGTATTCGTTGGGTTCAGCAACTCACCACCAGCATCCAACCAAAGCGGATCAACGGCGCATCAATTTAGTTCCTGGTTAGCTCGCAAGTTGGTTTTATCACGTCCTACATCGTCCATATGATGGGAGGCCACCTCCCATTTCAACACTCCTAAAACACCCGAGGAGCCGGCAGGCGGATTTGATGTATGTCTGTCTGTATGTCTGTGTAAGAAAATACCTCCTGCTCCTTATGATCTACTTTACCCGTCTGGCAGTCCATGCGTCCCCTTCTCACTCCCCTCGTTCATTTCCGTCTGTTCTCCACCGCCCTCACGCGCTATCACCTTGCATGGCCTGGCCTGTTGGCAGATCATGGCCTTCAGCCAGCCGCCCGGGCGCCTGCTGTGCGGCGACTTCCTGGATGCCTTTGGCCGCCTTGTGGAGGTCCGGGTGCGGTGGCTGATTCGTAGCGAGGCCCAGGCGCGGACGGTCCTCGAGTGCTACCGCCGGTTGGGCTGGTGGCCGGTTGGGCAGGTGGAGGAGGTGGGCAGCCGGATGGCGGAGCTGGGCAGGGCGCCGTGGCGGCGGAGGAAGGTGGTTGTGGAGAATGAGTGAATGAGTGAGTGAGTGTGTGAGTGCGTTAGTGAGGACGGAGGAGGCGGTGGATGGGGTTACGTACGTCGTGATGTGTGTTGGGTGTGGAGAGGGCAGAGGACGTGGGGGGGGGGCGTAGGAGGAGGGGGATGGCACAAGCGGGGGGTTGGGGAGGAGGGGTGAGGTGGAAGCGGGGAGGGTGCGTGAGTAGATGCGGTGTGGATGGCGTGACGTGACTTGGCGTGTGCGGATTGTGGTGAAGACTGGTTAGGGATGTGACACCGGACGTTGGATCTGGTTGGGTGCAGGTGCAGGTGGGCTGTGAGGCAGCAAAGCACGTTGTGGGTTGTGGACGAGTCTGAGTGCCCTCGCTGCCCGTGAGGTGCATGCAGTCCCGGGGGATGTTGGAGTGTCCGGCCAGGTGGCGGCCGCCGGTAGCATCACACAGTACCTGGACATGACGTGGTGATGATGAGGCCCCGCCGTAAGCTGGCGGCGTCATATCCGGTTGTGTCGTACGGCGGCTGCGCCGGCGCCGCCTGCAGGCCAGTCTGCCAACGCAGCCGCTGGAACGCGTGGCGAGAGCACCTTGTGGCTGCTGCCGTGTGCTACTGCTGCTGCCGTTGCAGCTACTGCTCATGTTGTGCCGCTGCTGGGGGTAGCACTGTGAAGAGGGGGCGCTGCTGCTGGGGATGCAGCAACAGGGTTTGTGGCCACGTGGCGTTGCTGCCAACCCTTCTGGCGCCGCCTCTGTGAAGCGGGAGTTACGCCGGAAGGCCCGTACCCTGAAGGCGGCAGCGGTTCAGACGGCGATGCAGGTCACAGCACCGGCGCCGCATTGGCGGTGGGGGCCGGCCTCGGCGCCGGGATAGGATTCCGTCCGGGATAGGATTGGCTGTAGGGAGCCGTTCGTCAGGAAGTGGAGTCCTGTTTCTTGGGTTTTGAAGTCGCCTGGACAAAAAGGTCGTTGTTCGTTTTACTCAAACTGACCTTGTTCCGGCAATGGTCGAGATGCAATGCTGGGGGTGGAAGACTTTTTGATGTGGCCTGCCATGAACCAGGACAGGACTAAACTTACCCGTTCTGGCTAAACAACAAAACATGCTGCTTCCTCTTTGCGCGACTGTTCATGAGTTCGTGCTCGAATTGGCACGGCTTATTGAATCATAGTTCCTTTCCTTCACTTCGTCAAATGACGGGAAACCGTCGTGCAACGGTTGTTCAACGGGAACGTCAGTCGGTTTCGAAAGCAATGTGTCTCCTGGTTGCGCTAGTGGTACTGCCATACGTCGCACAGAGAAACATTTATCAAGAGATGTATGCGAGTATGTCGGAGCTGCATTGCCTTGGGGTGAAGGCTTCTCACTTGCGCTGTAGCAGTGGGCGTTTTGCTTCATGCAAATACCCCAAATGACGATGCGTCATTTGATTTTTTAATGAGATTATACATGAGCAGTTCTACTGCGAGTGTATACATCTGCCTGTTTTGTGCCGAGTATGTCGTCATGCAAGCATAAGGAACTCTTGGCCCCTAATACGCACTACACATGCTTTAAGGTCTACGTAATATTTTGGCTTATTTCTAAAGGACCGTCTTCATGCTCAGACGGTGAGGTGTTATCACTTTTCTCAACGAAAAGTTTCCTAGGACTGAAGGGAGTCGTTGAGAGGTCCTCTAAGATCAAACAATGATTACCACTATGTATGATCATCATTAGATCCGCAGAACAGTGTCCAGGGACCAGTTGGTTGCAAAAGATAAAAAAATCCAGTCACAGGAGGGCCTTATAGGCCGGTTGTATTATCCAACGCTCGATCAGGATTTGTTTGCTCTGCAAACCAACTAACAATCCATTATGTTCAATTTTCCTTCTAGTGTTTGATTAAGTGGATGTCATCCTAGTTAAGCGTGAGTTTGCGCACGCTTTCAAGGGAGCAACTGGCGGCGCAATTGTCTCTCCGGCAGCTCAATTTCCCCGACTCGTTCTTCGTAACGCTTGCCTAAATTTCAAAAAAACCTGGTAGGCATAAAAGATCCTTCGATATTGCTGAAATTCGGGGCTAACGGTTTGGTCACAGTCCAAGAATTTACCGTCGCCTTTCAACTTAGACCAAGGCCCCGCGAGCCTGCTATCCTGTGTAGTGAATGCGTCCGTGATCTACCTGCAATGTTGAATTACCGTATTGACTGCGAACTTGTTTCAATTGAATTCGCTTTGGAAGGCCAGTCCCCAGTTTTATGGTAACACGTCCTACCTATGTACCCACGCAGAGGCGCAATACACGATTCTTGCCCATGACGAAACTGGTCCTCGACCCCTTATGTGTGCTGAGGTGGGTGACCTTTGATGATATGATCAACATATCGTTCGCAAATCATTTTTGTTTATGCCAGAAATTAAATGATACAATTATTATTATTATTCCAAGCTGACGCTGCTGTCTGCTTTGGTGTATGATAACGCTTAACGCCTGCATGTACATGGTCCTCGTCGAGCTAGTGACTCTGCTTAACGCTTCCATTACGCCTGCCCTGCAGCGCGTGGGAACAAATGGGTGGCAACGCATTCTCGAGCGATGATAAACACCTGGGTGACCCTGACGCCTTCACGCTCGACCTCAGCAGCTGGGAGGCCCGGCTTAAACCGCTATCCGTTCCGTCCACTTCCCAGCTCGATACAAACATTTTTGCCTCCCTATTCAACCCTTCCGAGCTATGCTTCCCATTCCTGCCAAACTGCTCCATGCAGCCGGTTGGCAGCAGCTTCTTCCCGGAAGGGCCCCAGGTGGTGCCCTTCTGCTGCCCCTCCATCTCCGCCGGCAGTCTGGACAACCAAACCAACTTCCCTCAGATCTGCAGCGGTCTTCAAGACTGCCTTGCCCTGGATGACACGGCCCAAGGCAGCCATATGGACGAAGACGTGCACATGTCGCTTCACTTCTCTGATGGTGAAACAACAACGCATGCGCCCTCACCGACCAGCAGCGAGCCCGGCATCGTACCTGACATTGGCGCCAGCGGATGTAGCCCTCGTAAGGCCCAGCAGGGTCAGCAGCCTAATGGCTCCACCGCAACCAGCGGCCTACTGCCTCAGGGCTGCGCGCCCTCTGCCGACGCCCCGGCGGCCGCATTGCCTCCAAGTCCGCCACACGCGCCTCTCCTTCATTCCCACCTAGCTGTCCCAGCTGTCTCCCTCTGCTCGCCGTTTTTCGTGCCCGTGGCCCAGCCTCATCCCGTCCCGGCTGCTGCTGCTGCTGCTGCTGCACCCATCAGCTGCAGCGGATCCACGCCAGGGTGCTGCCATCAATGCCATCAGCAAGGTGAGTGCACGTGGCGTAACCTTGTGCTTGCTGATGGCCCCCCGCGCTTGCACCCGTGGATGCTTCCGTTAGTCCGTCGTACTCTTCCGACACGCACTAGGCTACCCTCTGTGAGAATCCACACGTTAAAAACTGCATTACGTTTTTGCATTATCCTTATTTTTGTTTTCCTTTGGTTCGATATTTTTCGTTTTGCGCCCGGCCCTGTGTGACGTGTACCCACTTTGACCTGCGAACCTGTGCCGTCACCAGCAGAGGGGATCGAGGCGCAGCATCAGTCCCTCGTCCCGGCATTGTCCGCTGCAGCTCTTGCTTTGCAACAGCCGCAACAACCAGTCCCACCCATAGGTGCTACAGCAGCGGCAGCGGAACGACAACAGGGCGCCGTACAACCGCAGCAGCTCAGCCGCGCACACGCGTCACCTGCCGCTGTCGCCCAACAACAATGCCATCAGCAGCAGCAGCAGCTGCCGCCATCAGGTCCGTCAGCCCACATTCACCACAATAGCAACAATACGGCTACTGCTACTGCTACTAACAACCACCAGCATGTGCGCACACGGGCGGAGTGTCTGGAGCGCTACCGCGAGAAGAAGGCGCGGCGGCTGTACACCAAGAAGATCCGGTACCAACTGCGGAAGATTAATGCGGACAAGCGACCCCGCATCAAGGGCCGGTTTGTCAAGAAGGTGCGCAGGAAGCCCACCCGGTTTGAGAGTGCTTAGTAAGAGAATCCTCTCCTCTCCTCGCGATTGCAATTGTCGTTTCGCGTTGAAATTACTTAGCGTGAAGTGCAGCGCCCACAAACAACCCTGGGTGCCAGCCGCCTCCTGGAGGTGCATCCATGGATGCAATAAGAAAGGATGTGGGTGTAGCACTTGGCACTTTGGTGACCGTATGGGCCCTGCTCTTTGGACACGTCGCCATACGCTTGGCCACATCGTTGTGTCGTACACAACTGCACGGCCGAGTACCTGCCTAGATATTCGTTGTCCTCTTGAAGCCCGGCGGGCCCCGACTTGCCGCTCTCCTACGCCCAGCTACACCTCGCGCTCCAACCGCATTTGAGTAGCCCAATGGCTGGCGTTCCCCTTTCCCCTTGCCTTCTTTCCTTCCCTGCCCATTTCTCCTCCCTTCTGAACTCCAGGAGGAGCTGGCTGAGTTCCTTGCAGCGCAGAGGGGAGCAAGTGGGGCCGCCGCTGCGAGGGACGAGGCGGATGACCCGTATTTTGGGGATGGTGGGATGGACACCGACGAAGAGTAGCCGGCTGGGGGGGGGGCCCTGTCCGTGTCCCGTACGCAAAAGGGGTGTGTGTGTGTGGACGCTCTTCCGTCCCTCGCTTGACGTCGCGTTAGTCGGATGTTATGTGTTGTCAGCAGCAGCAGCTGCGTGAGCTCTTATCCCGGTGACGTGAGCTTCCGAAGGCTGGCTGGACCATAATTAAATTGGGGGGCCCAGGCCTCACCTACTTATAACGGGGCCGGGGGCCTCATCTAAATATAACTGGACCGCGACTTGCTAAACCAGCTCCCAGTAGGAGAGTGCGGCCCGGATAAGAACGTGTTTTCTATCCGAAACAATATTGTACGTTCTAGCTGGCATTAGGTTTTTATGCAAAGGCTGTAGAGCCTTGCTTTTTTCCTGCTCTGTTTTTTTTGAACTGTCGTGTCACATACGTATACATATACGGATGCAAGGAGCGAGTTTCAGATTACGGCGTGGATGAGAAGTGGGCGAAGAAGAGCGGATAGGTGAGGGTGGAGTGTGTTTTGATCTCCAGCTTGCGGCGGTTTCCAGACGGAGCAGACCTCCGTTAGCTCAATGAGAGAGAGAGAGATGCTGGAAGGATGGAAACCACGAACTATGCATGTCGTCAGTCGAATCACCGCCCTCTACACGCCGCAGGTTCTTCCAGCCGGAAGGGGAAGAACCTGATTCGTATACTGCATTTGCATAACAGGCGAAAAAAAGGTTACTGAAATCGGAGGTTTTGTGTTGAGAATTGATGTGCACGGGCTTGCATTGCTGATTTGGATTTATATGAAATGGAGCAGTTGCTGGATGGACTCGGGTAATGTGGAGTTGCGGAGACTAATGTGGGGTCAGGGGCACGAGTGCGATGCTGCGGCTCTGCGGCTCCGTCCTACCCACCTGACGTCGTGGATCCTGCAACCGCCGGCTGCGGATGTTTGGCCTTTTTCGGGGGTAGTGCCAGTGCCTCTGTAATGGCTCTTGTGTTGATGGCGGCCCGGCGGTCGCGGTTGGGGCCTTCTTAATCCTGGCATTAAGGATGCACAGGCTGTCACCTGCGCGTCCAGGAGATTCGTGAGCTGCTTCTGCTGTTGTTGTTGTTGTTGTTGGCAAATTGTTGACAATTATATCGACACCTGTTGCTGCGGTCTATGCTCGCTGGGGGGCCTAACGCTGGTTGGGAAGTTTGTGTGACAAGCGGGTTCCATGTGGGGCCCAAGTAGACGTTATTGAAGTCGTCGCATGCCCTCTATAAGCTATGCACGCCTCCTCGTGTACTGACATGATATGACATGATACGATGATATGATATGGAATTATGACATTAATATGATCTGATATGTGCGGAGGGGGCCGTCGGGGGAGAGGAGGTGAAGCTTTGGCGCTGTTGGCCGGGCATACATGACACGGCTACTAGCTATGTGAGTTAGCATGATGCACCTGCGCCAGTGGGGATATCGGTCATCACAGCTTTGTGTTGATGTTGTGCTCTGTGTTTTGTGGTTTTAGAGGAACCATTTCAGCCATGAAGCATTTGGATAACACATTCCTACTATTACTGGGGGGCTGCATGTGCGCCGCCTGCGTCATTGTACGACGCGGGGCCCCATGTCCCATCACTTCACAATTCTTAATTTGGGTTAGTGATGGCCCTAAGTTATACTTTGATTGTATCTGATTCTTAAGGTGGACTTCCAGGTCACGGAAGGTGGGGGTGAAGCAGTTCACGTTGCTCGTACTGAACTACAATCCGCGGGGGTTACCACGGAGTTCAGCTGTTAAGTACAGCTGCAAGGTGACGTCAGACTGCCCGGCTGACGTGATCCACAGGCGGGGACCACGCACCAGCTGCAGAAACATACGTCCAGGGAAATTGTGTCGCTCGCTCGGTTGTCACTATTAAGGATGTTTGTTGCTTAGCTTTGCATCTTTTTGGCGTTTGCAATGTCAAATATGCCGGCAAACCTCAGTGTTTGGCGCTACTACCTGTTGGAGTATTGACACTGGAGTAGGGGTTTTGTCGGGTTTAGTTGAGCATGTAATCCCCAGAGAGCTGTCACACGGCGGGTTGGCTGTGTTTCGGCTCTCCTTTCTTGGGCTTTGCGGCGGAAGAAAAAACGTGGCCGGTGGTGGGAGGCATACATTAGAAGCGAAGCCAAGAAGTATTGTGTGCCAACGAAGGGATGAGGCCGCTTTCTGGACTACGGATGTGTGGCATAGATTCGTTGGGCCTTTGTTCTTGGGGCATAAATATTACAGATTTGCATGCACTGCACGCTGTTACAATTTCTGGACGGGTTTGCGGATATCAAGTCACCTTGAAAGGAAATGGACGCGGATTCTGATGATTGCACGGTTTTTTTCTTTCTAGGAAATGGCACGGCTCAGCAGCTACATATATGATTAGAGGCTTGGGTACTACATCCGTACATCGTTTTCGTGGGCTCGGCTAACACTTGGCCTGTATGAGAACCTAACCCCAATTAGTACCAACATAGCTAGTTGAGCAACTGCTTTCCCGCGGCCACATGCCCTCGTTCCCATGTGGCCGATGTAGTTCATGAGCACGGGGGGTACTGACATGCCTGGCAGCTATTCGCCTCTCCCTCCGCTGCACGGCCTCCCCCTCATGCTCCACTGTCGGCCGGTGGCGGCCTCTACCCTGAGTCTCCTCCCCATTTGCACTTCCATGACTGGGCCGGCGGTGACTCCGACTGCTGAGTGCTGACCCCGATCACCCACATCACATCACATCACATCACACACAGGAGGTCCACTTGTGGCCAACTGCCCGCTTTGTGGCTTTGCTGTAGCTCTTCACCTCGCCCCCGGCCTCGGGGCTTTTCTTGAACCCGCTTGAATCTCAGTCCAAGGGTAGAGAGGCCCTAAGGCGTCATGGAGGCGGAGGGGCGGTCACTTATTGAGGACACCCGGCTGTGCCCGGGTTTGAGACTTCCACTTCCACTTCCTCATGCACGAGTGCATCCGCCCTCACCGTTGCGTGCTCTTGTCACTTCTTAAGGTGTGCAAGTCTTCTGCCCAGATAACCAACGCTCCACAGCAGCTGACGGGCCTACGAGGGGGCTGCTGTGCACACAGCCCGGGGGGGGGCAGCGAAGGAAAAAGATCTGCACAAGGCGGGAGAGGGTGGGCGAGAGGGAGATTTGAGATTCAAGGTCGCCTTACAGCACTACTGGTACTGTTAATAAAGGAAACTCTAAATGGGATCTCATTTGTCAAAGAGTCATCACCCTTCCGCCTAACGCCTAAAGCAGCATCTAACACCACCACCACCGCCAGCAGACACGTCTACCCGGCTGCCAGATGTCCTTCCCAATGTGCGCCCTCCATGGAAGGTCAGACACCCCGGTTTGACGTGGGTTGGTAGAGAACACCAAGGCATGCAGGTCGCTTGAGGAAACATCGCCATTGCTATCACTAATGAAAGGGGAGAAGGTGAATGGGTGTGTTAGGCAGGGAGGATGCCATGCATCTGTGAAGTGTAGTGGCAGGGCCATTCGTGTCATTGTCCTTTTGAGTCCAGTGCGCTTCTTCGATCCTCCTTCAGGATTTGTTACGGGCAGCCAGTGATTACTGTCCTTGTTGTTTTCAATTCGGTGGGTGCTCAACGCGAAGCGTGTTTTAGGGGGGTCCCCGTCCCATACGGTTCGCCACGTTCGTGCATCCCTCCGCCTTAAGTAATACCTCCCCAAACTGTGCATCAGTATTAGTAGACTTCAGACAACCTCCATCAAAAAATAAACCGTAGTGCCCGTAAGTTATGATAACGCCAATGTTGTGTCAGGCGTTGCTTCCCTAGGCGGATGATGGCTTGAGAGCTCGTAAGCCCCAGACGAGCCAGGAGGCTCATGGACTGCGAAACCAAGCGAGAGAAGAAAGAGAGAAAAGAAAGAAGTCCGTTCGCAACATTTGGTTTCGGCGCTAGGTTGATTTTTAATCTGGACTTGCTTGACCTTATCCTTGGTCCCTTAGCTTCTTTCT